GAGAGAGAGAGAGAGAGAGAGAGAGAGATGAACGCTAGAGACAGTGAGAAAGGGAGAGGGGCGGTAGTGATGAGACGTACAATTGGAAGTGCTTTTTTTTGTTTTATATACACCATTACATGTATATAATTTATTAGGACTGTACTTTTTACTCTATCTCACTCAACTTTATACGGCAGTCGTAACCGACAGTCGTCTGTCTTGGGCCCATTATCACGAATATCGTTTACGAATTGTTCTACGATTATGTTGGATCCACGTTTTACTCTGCTTTTTTTCTGTCTGCAATCCTGCTGAACTCCATCACGAAAAACTCAGCTAAATTTTGTCTAGTAAGAGATACAATTTCAGGTGAGGGGAAAAGAAGAACATATTAATTCTGTCTTAAAGATAAAGTAACTTGTATTTCGTCTGTTTGGTACAACTTTCAGTACTGCAAACTTATAAAAGAAAGGGCTCCCCAAGTTAACACCCTGTTGTGACAAAAATGGAGGTATGATAAACCTAATAGCTTTGAAAAATCTCTTCATACAACTCGCGGTAAATAACAGTTCTTATCACCGCCGTCCAGCATGATACACACTGAGCATGTTTTAAACAACAAGAGCAACAAAACATCATCATCAACAACAAAAAACCATCTTATTTTTCTCGACCCCCTCCCAACTCTTCCACCTTCCTACTCATTAAAGCACGGCGTTGGTGAGCGTGATCTTATCCGTGTACCTGGGCAACAGGAAGACTCCTATACCCTTCTGGACACGTCGCCGGGGCTTACATATCTTCTGGTACCCGCTACATCAAGTGTTTGCGGTGAGATAATGCACTATTGCTCCAGGGAATGGGGGACAGACGTTGCTCTTTTGGTAGTGAAATGGTAGGAAAATCGCACTGGCACTCTACATAATATTCATTATGGTCCTTGTCTTCCTCTTCTTCTTTTCCCACTGTCTCCTCTTCCTCCCTCCTTCTGGCCACTCATTCTTGATAGACTCTGACTGCAGTAACGGTCAGCGTAACTGGTTAATTATTATTGTAGGGAAACCCTCAAGTGAGGAAAGGAGTTCATGGTTTTCTTTTAGCTTTTCTTCAATTGCATTCTGTTTGGTTGGAGGGTTTGGCGTCACCCACAAGCGTTTAGAGCAATGCTTCTGAAAGAGCGACGTTTTGATGCCACAACATAACATACGCTGGCGATGAAATGGAAGTAAAAAGTAAAACGAAGTAAATACGAGTTCTTGGACTGTCAGCTAAGTTTGATAGGGGCAAGACAAAGTTGTGCATATTTTAACTTATATTTAAGTAACACTTTGCTGTATTCTGTTGTTTGTATGATGGTACACATAATAATTGCAGGACTATCGACCATATTATGTTCATGAACGTTCTTTCATCATGGAGGCCGCGTATGTACTGGCTACATTTTGCAGAGAAGTTTTGTGTTTACGAATGTAATTAGACAACCTCTACCCACAACCTCAACCCCCCCTCCCCCAACGGGAAAAAATCCTGTCCCTTTCCTCAGGTTTTGATCAGCATAATAGTCGGCTGGGGACTAAGTGCCTTGCTCACGGAGGTAGGTTGGCTGTCTGGAGACCCTAAAAGCAAAAATTACTTTGCCCGGACGGATGCCAGAACCCACATGATCGAGGACAGCGAATGGTTCATCTTCCCATACCCGGGTGAGATAAACAATACATGTCATGCAGCGAGAACGGCTCTAAAGTTCATCAGGGGAAGATGTTACTGAAATCTCCATCTTTTTAGATTCTCCACATACACAATCTTTCGAGCTATCATTGTGTTTAGCATGTTTATGGAACATGGTCAGAGATTTGAATGTGAAGAAATCATTATTCATCGACATCTGAGAAGTATATAATGTAACGGTTACCTTAAAATTGAGGACATTGAAACAATCCTAATGATTTTTCATTTTTCAAGCAATTTCTTCGCTATTTAATAAGATCGCAAACTACTGCACTACAACACTTTGTCCACCCCCACCGGAATATTTCAATTAGTTTTGTGTTAGTGACTTATTTTATGTGCTATATCGAAAAAAGATGCTTATTTTTGTGGGGCAGAGATATAAAAATCAATTGTCTCACAAAAAATGAAAAATATTATAAAGACTTTGCTTATGTGATGTTGAAAAAATGTTGCAACCATGGTTGTAAAGACACTATGCACAATTTGAATACCAGTAGTCCAAAAGTGTAAAAACCTTAGTATTTTAAGTGATAACATCTTGCAAAATGAGACACATGTAATCCCTAAAATTGGTGGGGAAAAAAAACAAACTTCACATTATCTTCCTCTCGTTTGGCCAAAAAAAGATGCTTTCATCCAAGCAGAAGGCTTGATGTATTACAGAACAGTTTTGTTTTACTGGGGGCACAGGCTCGAAAGAGCTTGACTTTGTACGTTGTAAACTCTTTCTCTTTTTTCCACATTCCCTCACGCCCGTTCTTCTCGCTCTTTGGCCCCCCCCCCCTTTTCCTTTACTTGTCTCCCCATCCTGTTCCTCGAGGTGGTGCTGGATAGGGCACTGTCCTTTCTGGGCTATTTAATTTTAATCGTTTCCTTCTATCCTTACTCAGGACGAAGTGCTTCGTTTTCAAATTGTGTTTAACAGTCGAGCTTCTCCAATATGAGCAACTCAAAGAATATTTCACTGTTTCTTCCTTTTTATCTCGTTTGGTAAGCCTCACAAAAGGCTTTTATCTGTTTTGTTTTTTTGCCACAGGAAATTTCGGTCCGTTCTCGTTCAACGTGGGTGGATTCATTGCTTTCTTTGTGGCCACTATTCTCTCAGTCCTGGACTCAATCGGCGACTACAACGCCTGCGCTCGCACATCACGTGTACCGCCCCCGCCACCTTTTGCCTTCAACAGAGGAATAGCCATAGAGGGGCTCGTCTCTCTCTTTGGGGGCGCCCTAGGCTGTTGCCACGCCACTTCTTCTTATGGATCTAACGTTGGTGTCATGGCCATCACCCGGGTAAACTATGTGCATGTCATCTTGAGCTACCAGGTGACCAGAAAAAAGTTCGTCCAAAAGAACGCCGATAAAACCGTTACGAATATACGAGTAGGTGCAAACATCAACCTTTGCAGAAACGTGGAACATCCATCCGGATTTATAAATTATGTGCTAATAACAATAGAGTATGACTGCTACAAACAAAGTTGTAAGATATATCCCAGATATTCCAAATTTCGAGTAAAACACTATTGTCATTCTGAAGCACATTCTGACACTCTGACTCTGAATGAAATTAATAATCACCTGTGGACACTGCTCGAGAGAAATCTCTCTTGTGCCCTCCGTGATGGTTTCTCTCAAGTTCTGGACACATTCGAAGGTTTTTCGAACACATCTAGTCCTTCAAACACCCCCAATGGTGAAATTCCAATGGACTCAGGTTAAGATTGTTTAGGGTCCAGTTGTGCTCAGCCAGACAGACTGTTCTGTAATCAAAATGTTTTTTGGGAAGCCCAGAACAGATCTGGCGTCATGAGGAGAAGCCTTATCTTGCGTTCAAATCCCCTCCAGCATTTTGGTAAGGTGACTAGGTGTCTGTCAAAGTTCACCGAATGACAGACCACAATAACCTTTTCAAGAGTGCTTTGTTTTTACAGGCTGCAATCCATGTGTTACTCAGCGCTTAGAAAAAAATTCTTTTTTTTCAAAGGACCAAAAACGTTCAAAATGTGCAGCCCATTACAAAATGGATCTTTCGCTTGGAGAATTTTGTTTGATACATATATCTGTCCTGTCTTCCCTAGCAACTCATGCACACGTCGATTTGAGAGTATTTGTGTGCTGAAACATCTAAATTATTGTAAAAGCATGTTGTATAAGGTCTAACTGCTCCACCATCTTTTGGTTGTGTAACAGCAATTATCATTTTTGAAAAACATAATCAGGATGTAAGTTTTAGCTTTCGGTCAATTTTGATGTCTGTTGCGTCATAAACAAGAAAGGTATTCCAATATCTTTGAACGAACTTTCTTTCTGGTCAGCCCATAGGGTGTAAATGTCGCTATTTACTGGCCGAGTTGACTTCCCACCTCTAAGTGGTGAAGGAAAAGTTAAACGAAACTATTGGATCTGATTTTAGTATAGGTTATATTTAACACTCTTTCCAACATTAACTGCCTGCGCACGTGTGTGTGAGTGTGTGTGTGTGTGTGTGTGTGTGTGTGTGTGTG